CGACTTATTGGAGTACTTCCTTCTTTGATCCTTCTAGAAGACAAATTTAAATTTGAATGACGTTGACTCGAGAGCTTGATAGTTTTTTTCTCGGATCAGACGCTATGTTGGTTAAACTTTTCGACGAATGCGGCTTGAATGTCATTTGAACGTCGTTGATATTCTTGGATTGATTAGAGAGCAATGAAAGTCGTCTCTTTACTTATTGAGAAAAACCGCCGCCTTTTTTTTTTTTTTTCTTGGCTTTCTTCTTCATTGAACGGACTTCGGCGGCTTTTTCTTCTTCTTGGCCTTCTTATTCATTGAATGGACTTTCGCGGTTCGAATGTTTGGTTGTTGGTTGAACGTCGATCTTCAACTTGAATGCCCTTAGATCTTCAAGAACTTATTCAAAACTGATATCAATTAGAGCCTCTGAACTCCTCTATATATAGCACTATAGCAGGAAATGTCCCTAAAAATATAATGTATTGGGAACATGTGGTAGCATTTGAATCGTTAGCGGCATGCAAGGTGACACATGTCTCGGCAACTTGCCCAACTTGGGCAACTAACTTATCCTTTTGGGTGGTGAGAACTTATCTTAGGCGACAACTTTTTTCACGTTAGTTTAGGGTTGAGCTCAAGTGGGATGAGATCGGCAATGAAGAGAGGTATTGCTTCTAATAGATGTCCGCGTGATTGCCTCGTAGCTGGGAACAAGGTTGATGTCTAGTGGAAGTCCACGAAGTCGGGGTCTTTCGTCTTGGCAGGAGTGCTTCTTGGAATCGTGGCCCCGAGAGTATAATCTTGTAGTGATTACATCCTGACTATCTTTGTGGGTTCAATTCAGGCTAACAAATTTCTCTTTTTAACATCATGCTACAAAAGAAATAAAAAAGAAAGAAACAAACAAAAAATCAATTAATACCTACACAATACATATTAAATAACAAATGAACTACTCTTAGGCATATCAGTTAATAGGTTATGCCATTATATATACTTTTTTAATATTATCTTTTCTATATATTAATTCAAAATATGTTGAGATTAAGTGACATGTTCCCACTTTTCAGATGAAGACATGATAAAATTTTGTGATTCGTAATTTTGTTTGTGTAAAGGTTATAAGGATCTGGAATCAAGTTTTATATTTGACACAAAAATTTATTTGCAATTTTCATAAGTATGCGCTTGTATTTGTCAAACTTTCTCTTTCCCAATGTTATATAATAACTCATACAAAAATGATGTTGGATATTTGGTCAAAATTACATGGGAATCCTACGAACTGATATGTATTTTCAGTTCTTACAAATAATCTAAAATAGAAAATTACAATTGAACTGAAAAATAAATTACAACTGAAAAACGGAAAGATTTTAGCC